TTCTGATGAAAGATATTTAGGTAAATTATATAAAGACACATACATACATTTATTATTTCAAACATAAGCACGTAGGAAGTTTATCAGAAATCTTATACAGTACATGAATTAACTGTTAAACTTTGGTAGCAAATTTACGCTTTCGGAGGATGCATTTAATATATACTGTCCTTATTTTTACCCACAATAAGACATACTAAGACAAATTACATATCATTAATACTACAATATGTAAAAACAAAATTTTAAAAGATCAGAATCACATTGAAATATTACATGACCGTCAGCAGAGGCGGGAAATATGACTGAGAACAACTTCCTATTTTCCCGCCTCTGCTGACGGCTGTTCACTGGAGCGACCAAGTCTGTCACACTCATCCACCATTTTTCAGGAGCCGTGTAATATTTCAATGTGATTTTGATCTTTTAAAATGTTAGTTTTTGCATAATGTAGTTTTTCTGATACACAATTTGTCTTAGTATGACTTATTGTGGGTAAAAATAAGTATTTATTAAATGCATCCTCCGAAAGCGTGAATTTGTTACCAGAGTTTAACAGTTAATTTAGAAACAGTCATGCCAATGATTATGAATACACTCACTTAGAAATACTGTACATCATTACTTCCGGACGAAATCGGACAGGGTTGCAACAGCCTATCAGCTGTAACTCTTGAGGAAGGGGTGGGGCATTTTTTCTCAGCTGAGAAAAAATGCGCTATAGTACATGTATTAGTATTTCTATCACTTCTCTATGACTGGTGGATCCATTCTCCACTCACTTCGGGCAAGAGGTGTAGCCACCACCCCCCCCCCCATGACAAACATTTCTTCCTCAATGTTTAATAATCAATATAAAACTATAAACAAATGCCGCACTTGTTACTTCCTTTTTTTTTAATTACAATGATAATTTTGTTTTAAATACGCAAACAAAATTATCATAGTACCTAGTTAAAAAAGTGAAGGTGTGCCTCCCTGAGTGTGTAGCTATCTGTTTGAATGTTTCCCTCCTGCAGCTATGAAACTGTATCTGTGCATCTAGGTGGTTCTCAATGACTGTTGCTCACTTGGCAGTAATTTGTGCACATGATTTGATTGTTTTCTCACAAAAGCATTGCAAAAGCACAAGAATACTGTAAGTTGATACAGCAAATTAAAACTTCAATAATGCAAATTTAAAATCAAGGTCTACCTTGTGTAACATAAGAGAAAACAAGATCATTTCCCTGGGACTGGTGCAGAACAGAATAGATTTCTTCAACTCACTTCTGTATACTGAGCTTTGCCCACTTAGCAACCTTCACAATTCAGTGACTCACCTCCTTACAGCATGGATTTATTTATTTTTTATACTGATCAGGCAAAGCAAGAAAAAAGTGATTGTGGGGTGAGGGTGGCAAGAAATTTACTAACCAACGATCAATCAATGAACTTGTGATATTTCCTAAGGATACCACAAATGGCAAAAGCTTAAGTCACCAGGCAATTTGAGGCATACAACACAAAAGGGCAAACTCGCCACTTCCCGATTTTCCATTTTCTGTGGGTTCCCTGAGATTATGATAAAGGCTACCAGGTGGAGAGAGCAGCTTCCAAGATAAATGTGATCTTGAAATGGGTTTGGTGAAGGGTGGAAGTTGCGTATTTTGACACGTGATGCTGCCACACTTTGTGGTGGCATCAAGAAGGAACATGTGCGAAATCCCATCCTTGTGTAGCCAATCAGAGGCTGCTCTCCAGCTGAGACAAGCTCTGGGCTGATCATAGATGCCAAATTTACGTATAAATTTTCATGACTTTGTGCAAATTTTTGGTGGTAGTTAATTAGTGGGCTTTAATTTGAAGAAAAAACCGGGAAAATCTTTAAAGTAAAATTTAAATACATTAATTGAAGTGGGCTTTTCGAGATGTAAACTTTACGTATTATTAATTGAAATTGCCCAATAATAAACAAAATAACTTTTAAGTGCAATTATCTCAAAAGTCACTGTGGGGAGTTTGCCCTTTGTGCTCTACATGCCTCATTTCTTACCTTTGAAAAGCCCTTGAAATGGAAAGGTAATAATTTTCTCCTTGTATATTTCAACCCCTTACCATTTTCAATTTTCAGCTATCTTGTGTAGTTATACTGTCGTACACAGTGTGTACTGTTATAGGTTCAACGAGGCTATCAGTATTGCACTTTCTCACTGGCTAGATCTGAAAAATGGTGGGGTTGCCTTGGTAAGCATACACAAACAAGAAAAGGAGAGGGAACTACAGAGAAAGGAAGAATGGAGTTTAATGTAACAGCAGAATATCAGGTGAAATTAGTGTGAAGAAGAGAGCCATCAAAGTGAAGAGTTAATGCCCTTAGGGTACTTCTTGAACACACTCTTTCACGAGTCCAAAACCTGCTATATACGGTAATACCTCACTCAACTTCAATAATGGTAACCCGGGGTGTCAATGAAACGAGTCATACAAGATCTAAACCAATACACTATAAAGACCGTGTCTCAAATATTTTGATTAGCCTTAGCCTTTTACCTTCATTAATCTCAGTTAGAAGGTTAAACCAAGTTGGATAAATTTATAGGTCATGTCTACAAATCATTGAAACTCAGTTATCATCTGGTTTCTTAAGGTTAATTTTCTTTATGTGGAAGGAATCAAGCCAATATGAAACCGATGTTCGACACCAACAGGTATTTGACAAAAGCCACATGGGTCCTTAGTCACTACTAGGGAAACTGATATTATATATATATATGAGAGAGAGAGAGAGAGAGAGAGAGAGAGAGAGAGAGAGAGAGAGAGAGAGAGAGAGAGAGAGAGAGAGAGAGAGAGAGAGAGAGAGAGAGAGAGAGAGAGAGAGAGAGAGAGAGAGAGAGAGAGAGAGAGAGAGAGAGAGAGAGAGAGAGAGAGAGAGAGAGAGAGAGAGAGAGAGAGAGAGGAGAGAGAGAGAGAGAGAGAGAGAGAGAGAGAGAGAGAGAGAGAGAGAGAGAGAGAGAGAGAGAGAGAGAGAGAGAGAGAGAGAGAGAGAGAGAGAGAGAGAGAGAGAGAGAGAGAGAGAGAGAGAGAGAGAGAGAGAGAGAGAGAGAGAGAGAGAGAGAGAGAGAGAGAGAGAGAGAGAGAGAGAGAGAGAGAGAGAGAGAGAGAGAGAGAGAGAGAGAGAGAGAGAGAGAGAGAGAGAGAGAGAGAGAGAGAGAGAGAGAGAGAGAGAGAGAGAGAGAGAGAGAGAGAGAGAGAGAGAGAGAGAGAGAGAGAGAGAGAGAGAGAGAGAGAGAGAGAGAGAGAGAGAGAGAGAGAGAGAGAGAGAGAGAGAGAGAGAGAGAGAGAGAGAGAGAGAGAGAGAGAGAGAGAGAGAGAGAGAGAGAGAGAGAGAGAGAGAGAGAGAGAGAGAGAGAGAGAGAGAGAGAGAGAGAGAGAGAGAGAGAGAGAGAGAGAGAGAGAGAGAGAGAGAGAGAGAGAGAGAGAGAGAGAGAGAGAGAGAGAGAGAGAGAGAGAGAGAGAGAGAGAGAGAGAGAGAGAGAGAGAGAGAGGAGAGAGAGAGAGAGAGAGAGAGAGAGAGAGAGAGAGAGAGAGAGAGAGAGAGAGAGAGAGAGAGAGAGAGAGAGAGAGAGAGAGAGAGAGAGAGAGAGAGAGAGAGAGAGAGAGAGAGAGAGAGAGAGAGAGAGAGAGAGAGAGAGAGAGAGAGAGAGAGAGAGAGAGAGAGAGAGAGAGAGAGAGAGAGAGAGAGAGAGAGAGAGAGAGAGAGAGAGAGAGAGAGAGAGAGAGAGAGAGAGAGAGAGAGAGAGAGAGAGAGAGAGAGAGAGAGAGAGAGAGAGAGAGAGAGAGAGAGAGAGAGAGAGAGAGAGAGGAGAGAGAGAGAGAGAGAGAGAGAGAGAGAGAGAGAGAGAGAGAGAGAGAGAGAGAGAGAGAGAGAGAGAGAGAGAGAGAGAGAGAGAGAGAGAGAGAGAGAGAGAGAGAGAGAGAGAGAGAGAGAGAGAGAGAGAGAGAGAGAGAGAGAGAGAGAGAGAGAGAGAGAGAGAGAGAGAGAGAGAGAGAGGGAAGAGAGAGAGAGAGAGACTCCCCTTTTTAATTTGTTTTCAACAGTACAGTACAGTACAGTACAGTAGGTCTTCGGTGTGTGCGCGTTGTGTTGGTTTTTATGATGCAGGAACATATCCCATGTTATGACAGGCTCCTCCATTACAGTCTTGCCAAGGGTAACATACAGTATATTGGAGGAAAACAAAACCAAACAAATAAAAACTCATATAACTTCAACTTGTATATTAAAGAAAGTCCAAACACTGCAGAAAATATAACACCATAATGAATCCTAACCTCTTATGCAAACTTTATAAATATCTTTAGTTTTTGCAATACAGTAACCGATTTCTGAATGCAACTTTTATCAACGAAAAGGTCAAAGTTATCATCTTAATTTATTTTACACCGGAAACCCAAAGGATTTTTGTGAACGAACATAAGAATAGGAAGAAAGTCATGGCATTCATACTAGCGCATGAATAATTGGGACAAAGAAAACTGTAAAGTCTACATATATAATATATATAAATAGATATATTCACATATTCTCTTTCAGTGAAGACGAACCCGGGAGGGCGCAGCAACATTCACTGAGCAAGGGATAGTCACATCGATCTAAACGACTTCACAAAGAAGACGTGTTGGTGTCGCCACGACTGATCAGAGATCGTATAAGAAATTGTCCCAATTACAATAATTGAGAGACATAACAAAAGAAAAGTCACTCTACTTCATCAATGTGCTAATAAGTACAAATACCGTATATAAAATCCTTGTGGAGCTTAGTACTTCAGCAATCATAACACATATTCGCGGAGCTCTGCATTGTGTTTACTTATAGCTGTAATCGCCAGGCAAGAGATGAAGGTGGCAGTGCGTGCGATGGGGGGTGAAGGAGGGGGTTTCGACAATTGCAATTAAATGCCAGGTAGCGACGTGTCCTCCTAATATTACTTATTAAGTAATTATTAGATGTTTTACTTGCCTGTACGTTGGCCTGGCGAGTTATTGCTAGGCATTAACATACCTAGGTTAAAGCTAAGCGTCGCATTCTGGATTGAACAAAAATAAACGATTGTAGTGTCCAGGCAATGTTTGTTTTCAAAGGTGACGCAAGTACTGCGATCAAATGAAATTCCTGTCGTGATGTATTCTTCTTAATATTATTTTTTATTTACTATGACATTTTTGTTCGTGTTTTGTTACTGAAATACACTTTATAGTTTTTGTACATTTTAACATTAATAAGAAAAAATAAGAATGGTGTAAATTTTAGTAATACAATACTCTCTAAAGCAAATGTCAACCCATCATACCGTGGATTTTTTAAATGCTCGTCCCACTTTCGACAACAAATAAGTTGTCGCTGTAAAGACAACTTAAAGAGTTCACTGAAAAATCGACGCTACGGTGGATTTATTCCGGGTGGAAACTTTAGTGTGACTGCAGCTTAAGATGATGATCATAAAAGCCACATCTCAGGAGGTTTCCAAAACAAAGGCTATCTGAGGAATTATGTTATTACCTTGGAAAAATTTTTTCCTTCAATGGAATTTTATAAAATGTTGTGAGGAGAACCATGAAAGGAAAGAGGATCCCGTGAGAGAATTTTATACTAGTGTTCCATTAATAATGTTCTCTTCTTAAATTTGTACTTTTTAACAGTACTATACAGAAACAAGTTTAAATAAACCTGGCACCACTTCACTAAACGTATAACTAAATACTGTAATATACAGTAGCCTATTGTACAGTTCATGGTTTGGCATATACACACATCTTTTTCTGAAAAAAGTTACCAGTCACATCTTAAAACCCCTTGCTTTACTGTATGATGCTCTCACCTTTTCCTCCTCTACCCTCACACTTTCTCCACAAGCTTTTCCTCTATACTGTACAGTACAAGTGCACCTTAATGAAAAACAGTCTTTTAACAGTTTGAGAAATTTCTTTTTCAACATCACTTTCACAATTTAGTGTAGTGTGAAATGATATCTTCATTTATCCTTCATATGTATTACAGTACAGTACAGTACTTTATATACTGTATAGTATAGTATTACATTTGTGACAGTTGATGCTCCTCTTCTATTTTTATGTAAACTGCAACTAGAGAAAACATTAAATAAAAGTCTGTTAAATTAATACCTTTACTGTATGCAAATAAAGGTAAAGTAAAGAAAAAATAAGTTGCATAAGTTTTCCTAAAATAATCATAATTTCCTTATACTGTACAGTAACTGTGTTACTTTCTTGAATTCCAGAGACATTAGTCATTTTTATCTAATGTGTTTAAAATTATTATTATTATTATCATTTTTGGTCGTTCAACGTGTTGAGGCAATGACCGTAATTTCCAATAATGGTAATACGTTATATGCTTGTTACTTGAAGGCTCCAGAATGAGAAACAATCTAGCACTGATGCCAATGATGACGGTCCATATGTGATTTGATGCTACTACTAGTTGTTGCTCGATATGGGCAGTGTGGGCAGGCATAAGGTTTCTCCCCAGTATGGGTACGAATATGTTTCTTCAGGTCGTAGCTGTCTCGACTGGAACGTCCACAAACTGGACAAGTGAGCCTCAGGATCTTCCCACCGGGCGTAAACCCTGCCGAAGACGGCATTCTATTGCCACTCACGCCTCCCTCATGGCATGCCTAGAATGAGACAAGGCACATTACCACCACCTTTATACCATCTCTCTTCAATTCTAAAACTTGGCCAATAATCTTTGAGTACAGGAACGCAGCTTCCCCTCTTTTGTGGTCCTATCATCTTCCCAAATGACTAGATGTGATGCTCCTTCTCTAAGTGGAGCTTCCTGACATGTGACTTGAGGTGGGAGCAGTGGTTGGCTCTGTAAGGACAGTAGGGGCACTGGAAGGGCCTCTCTCCAGTATGGATGCGGACATGTGTCACCAGATTGAACTTCTTGAGGAAAGTCTTGCCACAGAAAGGGCAGGTATGACCAACCCCAGACCCCAACCACTCAGGCCAGGGGGGCGTGGCTGGATCTTCCTCTGACTCTCTGCCACGCCCCTAGAAGAGAAGAATCCTCTCAGCATCATGCACCACACTCCCTGTGCCACTTTCAAGCATCAATGAATTGCCATCAACAAGATGGTTGATATTTTCTAACTAAATTAGTTTAATATATTATCCAAAACACATATTGCAATTATCACATCGACAAAAAACAAAACCTCCAGTTTCCTAAGGTGTATCAAGGCACTTCAATATCTAAGACACTTAAATTTTCACCATTTTCAAAAAGACCGTCAAATTATTGAGTTTTAGTACAGTATATGTGTATTTGTCAGTAAATCCTTTGGAGAGATGAACGTATTTATTTTGGTATGCGCAGGTATATAGCTGTAAACGCTTTTCTTATTAATTTTTACATTAACAGTCCATAAAGGAAAAATCCAACTTATTTCCAGCAGAGGCTGACGAAGAAATAACATTATACACTACAGTAGAGTAATTACAACTATTATGACTTGTACAAAATACATCAAGTTTATACTATACAGTACTGTATTATAATTGGATTTTTCAATTATAGTCTCTTCTTGTAATTCAAACTTCTCAGTATTTGCCTTTAAAATACATTTGATTTTCCTTTAGATAGCAGGTAAAATTTTTCCTTTTTTTTTTGCAATATTGTTTGTTGCCTTTTGAATAATTCCAATGTATACATCGACACTGACTCACCAAAATAGAGAAAATATAATAATACAGTACACAATTAAGTGTGTTGAATTAAATCTTGATGCAGCACCGGACCGGTACAGTACAAAGGATTTCAGTCAAAATCTGTTTTCTCACTTCATGGTATCCAGTACAAGGAAGTGGTATTACTTTAATCTATACTGTACAGTGTACAGTATATTCTTAATCCAGCATCAATAGAATTTCATAATTCACTAAACATAATCATAATACTTGTTGACAAGGTTGTTGTCTGAGTCTGTTACAGTACAAGACAGACAACAACACTGTACTACTTCATCAAATGTTTACTGAAGTTTTAAGAGATTCAACAGCAGTAATTCAACACACTTCAATATAACATAATAAATATCCACAAGGTAAAGAGAGCCAGCTACCTACATTACAAGAGTGTGCCTGTTGCCAGCAACTTACCTTTGGAGGGGACACGAAAGCTGGCCACATGCACACTCACACTCACTGATTGGATTGACAAGACTTGTACTTTTAAATTCTAAGCAATAATTTAAAACATCCTGGTAAATATCTACTTCACCAATCAATTCTAACTAGTTTTTATAAATTATATGAAGGTAAAGAATGCGCACGCACGCACACACACACACACACACGCACACACACGCGCACACACACAGTACAGTACAGTATTTAGTTAGTGTATGGGGCTTTGTGATTGCGTTTTTGTCCATCGCCAGTGTTTATTGTTTTACTGTACATTTATAGATAACAGTAGAACACCTCCATTACAATTATAAATACAGAATTAACTGACAGCAATAAATGAAGTACCTGTACTGTATTTGCTCTTGATCAAGGCACCGTGTACTACAGTACTGTATAGCAGAAAAAGTTTTTACAGTGAAAACATCTACAGTACATTTAGTGTGAGCGAGCATGTTGTGAGGACAGAATTGGTCACCATGGTTATGTCAGCTTCACTAGAGCAGGTCTAAGGTTTATTACCGAAATTTGGTTTATGCTGAGCCTAGATTCACATGTACATTAGTACATATTTTACTTTTTCATCTTTCTCATGCCGGGTTAAGGTTTGCATGTAAATAATGTAGATGTGCATCGTGCTTTTCCTTTTCCCCCATGCAATAGATCAGGGAAAATCATCTTTTGTGCCAGAATGCACCTAGAGCCAGTTGTGTGTAAACTAGGGTACTTGTTCTACTTACTGATATGGTTTCATCTTATTGCCAATGATACTGTCTCCTCAAAAGTGTTAAACTCTTCTACGAGTAAAGAACCCCCAGAGATGCCTACGATATGAACACTATACATCTGAGTTGGGAGGGCAACACAAGTCAGCTAACCAAGCATACATTCTGTTTACAGTAAAGAAATGCAGAAAAAAATAGAATGCTATAAAAGTCTAGTGCACTACATTTTCAGTCAGGATGATAAGACCAAGGAACTAAGTGTTTGATAGGGCACTCATACGCACACTCATATATTGTGTGTGGATCAAAGACCAATATTAGAAATTGGTACCACTAAGCTCTGCCATAATTTGTGAAACACTCAACATACTGTTAAGTATACCATAATCATTTACAATGTTCAATCAAGAATATTTTCAAGTACAGTACAGTACATGGTCAAAAACCTAACACTGTAGTGTGTAGAAACACGTAGAGGTGATGTGGATGGGAATGTAAATCCCCATTTGTATAAAACCTGTATTCATTTATGCCAATTTTGCTTTACCTAGCCTTTTTTTTTTTTACAAACCCCAACTCAATGAAGGCAACCCTGCATATGCACAAGCGCACATAATCTCAGAAATCCAGCACTGGTGGGGCACATGTCAGATATGTAAAATTTCCAGTTCTGTAAACACGCCCCCCCCCCCTTTTTTGTCTCAGCTTTACCATCCCTAACCCTTGAAACCATAGAGTATTTATTTGTTAAAGTTTACTGATGTATGGCTTTTCCATAAGGATTCTTTTAAGGAAATCACACAGTACAGGACACCTGGATATTTCGCGGATTTTTATTTCGCTGTCCTCTATTATTCGCGGATGACACCCTGGATGTACCCAAGAATGTCTAAGAGTTGTTCTAAAGTTGCTGGCATTTTTGCGGCCGTGACAGGGAGCCATTCGTTCTAGAGACAGTAATTTTCTTAACCTGTACAGTATTGTATATGTGTGTGCAGACACACATATACAAATAAATAATAATGGAAAATCCTCTCACAAATAATCAGATTTTTATTTTTTTTTTTGAGTCTACCCTAAGTCTACTCTATGTTTTGTTATTAATAAAGCACAGAGTGAACTTGAAGGTAGACTCAACATTCTTTTTTTTTTAAATTATTATTTGTGAGAGGATTTTCCATTATTATTCATTTGTATGTGTCCCACACACACACACACTACAGGTAAAAGAAATAATAATCTAAAGGGCAAACACATAAAGGGAATATACAGTACATTTCTTTGTACACAAGTAAAAATGTAACCCCCCCGTCAGCAAATGTTACTCGCAGATTTGGCGATTCGCGGCCATTTTGAGAACCTAAACCTTGCGAATTTGAAGGGCATGCTGAACAATACATTATTGCTAATTACATGTACTGTATAGTACACAACAAATCACTTTGCAAGGACAAAGTAATCCATATGTATGGAAATAAGATGATGCTGTATACAGACATGTAAAGTGTTGCAGCAAGGTGATAAGTTGCCTTTAATAAATAAATAAAAAAAAATTATTTTTGTAAGGACACTGCATTAAACTGCTGTTCACAACTAAACTGAAAGTTCATTATTCACAGGTGTCATATGCAAAGGCTGTTGCTTCCCTCAATGTAGCTGTGTGAGGCCTCTCAATTTCACCAAGTTGGCTGCACATCCACAAACTTGCCCATTAGGCCAACTTGTTTTGTGTCAAAATTAGTTTTTCTTTTTTATTTACTTGGTTATTTTATTATTCACCCAAGTCTCCAATAAACAGAATTGCATTTTCAATTCAATCTTCAGTTTTAAAAATATAGCATTTATGTGTAGGAAAGTTTTAATTTCAAATACAGTAGTTTACCACTCAGCATCACAAAGAGCTAACTAACCTCCTTCACTATGTGCCAATACTGTACTGTACAAGCAGTGGGTAGATCTGATGTGTACATTAGAGCCTTGAGTATAAGCAGTAGCTAGGGCCACTAACTCAACTAATTCAATACTACCAATCACTACCCAATGGAAATGGATGAAGACTTAGAGACAATGAAAAAAAAAAGCCCTTGTCCAGAATATACCATACATACATAAATAACCTAACCAAGATCAGTGTGGCCAGCAGAGGTTTGCAAACACTGCAACATTTTATAACTAAAACACATCTTTCAGTTCAAACAGTGATAACTAAGTATGTTTCCTTAATCTCAGGGTGCATTCTTGAAAAAAAAGAAAAAAGTTGCAGGTCGAGTCGAACAATAGTTCAAGAATGAACAAAACGAACTGAGCTGAAGCCTTAAAAAAAAAAAAAAAAAAAATCCCATAAATACATTTACGTACTTCATCAAAACAAATGTTTGAAATTCTTTCCAATTTCTTGAAATTAAGACTCAGCACATAAGCACCGAGTTGTCAAAGTAGTGATATAAATACAGTAGCTTGCACAAAATACATATAATTTATGTTTTGTATTGTACAATTAATAATTTCCCCAAACAATACTGTATGCGTATGACCACTCCTGTGGCTGTGGCCATTCCAAAAGATGCCCAACATAATTGGCTTGTATTTAGGCCAAGTGAGATTTACCCCCCCCCCCAAAAAAAAACAACTGTCCTGATTAAATTCCACATATTCTTAAGAGCACATTTATAAGTGACTCATTCATTAAATATTAAGATCCTTTAATGCCTGATCTGAGACCTGGTGTATTATATACTGTACAAGGTATGTGAGAAGAA